CAAGTTTAAATAGAAAAATGAAGCAAATGCCAAGAAACCCGTAATTCAAACAGGTAAATTCATGAAAAATAATTAGACTTTTATCTGTACCATATATTCCATTAAAATTTAAGGGGATCTTGGAAAGTTCCAAGTATTGGTTTGATTTCAAAATAGGTAGTCAGAAGAAATGAACTTTTTATAATTTCAATACCATGTTGCATTAAGATAGTCATATGCCAGAAACTTTTAAAAATAGCTAAGTACTTCCTACAAGTAATCAAAACAGCATCCTAATTGTTAATGACCATCTCTGACTTAAGACTTATCTGCAGGGTCTCTGGAACAACTAGCCTGTTTCAGTGTCGCTCATCCTCAAAAATTAACCTAATTATTACAAATATTGATTAATGAAAAATAAATGCTATTTGGTTTGTGATGGTTATAAAGCAATAGTTAATGGTTAATAATTCATGGCTTATGAAGTTACTAAAAAATTAATTATCCCCAGGTGGAAAAATACAGGCAAATTGCTTAGGATTTATCATAGAGGTGGCCATTAATACTGCATATTTCTTGCCACCACTTTAATCTAAGTCCAAATTTTGCTTTGAAAAAAGACAAACATGGGGAACTTTTATAACCATGAGGTGGGGAATCACCTTGAAATTTTTGATTTTGAGACAGGGTCTTATTAAGTTGCTGAGGCTGGCCTCAAATTTGTGCTCCTCTTGCCTCAGCCTCCCAAATTGCTGGGATTACAGGCATGTACTACCATGCCTGGCAAGCATTTTTTTCATATTTCACTTATAAGTAGGACTATTAAATCTTCCTGCCTCAGCCTTCCCAGTTGCTGGGATTATAGGTAGGTGTATGGCACTATGCCTGGCTGGAAAAAAAAAAAAAATCTTTTAATCCTGCTTTAATTTAAGACTGAAATAACAGAAATAACAGATTGCATGGCTGTCCATACACACCTCCCTCCTCCCCCTCAACTCTTCCAACAGTCTAGGAGACTTCATTTGCATACATCACCATCCTGCTCTTTCTTTGATATCTATCTTTGAATATCCATTTCCTTACCTCTCTCCTTGGGGGATGAGATTGTCTTTTTATACCCACTCCTTGAACCTCCTAGCACAATATCTGGTTCTCCAGGATTTTTAATAATTAGCTTATATTAATCTGTAAAATAGCTTCCAAAACTAATAAGTGAGTTTAGCAAATTTGAAGCAAAGAAATAAGCCTAAGCTTAAAAGACCACTGATTTGGCTTTCAAACCCCTTTTTGTTTCACTTTTTTTTTTTTTTTGTTTCTTTCTTTTTTTCCCCCCTTTTTTAAAAATTTTTTTAGTTTTCAGTGGACACAACATCCTTTTTTTTTTTTATGTGATGCTGAGACTCGAACCCAGGTGAACGCGCTACCGCTACCGTTTGAGCCACATCCCCAGCCCCTTGTTTCACTTTTTATAAATAAAAAAAGCCTGAAAATAGAAGTTATTTGCCTAAAAAAAAAAAAAAAAAAAAAAGAGAGAGAGAGAGAGAGACACACACACAGATGATTTAACCTCTCTCAATTCTTTTTTCCAGCTCCCTTACTTATCCATGGTTTTAGTTTGTTACACTTTGGTTTTGACACTTGGACTCTTAGATTAAATGATCCTTTCCCACAGTGGGAGTCCAGTGTCTGATTTTGTTAATCCTTTTGGAGTTGCTGGTGTTCTTTACCAAGAAGTTCATGAGTTTCCTTTCAGTTTCAGCTTCTTGTGAAAATGATCCTTCCGTCACCCACGCCCCTTGTCTCACAGTCACATCTACATATCCCACTGGTGAAGAACAATGAGAAATTCTTGGTCATACAGCAGAAATATTGTATCCCTATTTTATAAATGATTAACTTGGTGTTCTGCAACTTGCTTAGGAATAATAACTTATCAACACTTGCTATTTGTCAGGCATTATTCAAAACATTTTACATTTAATCTCACATCAAATCTCTAAAGTGGGTATTAACAGTCCCAATTCACAGATGAATAAAAATAAGGCACAGAGAGACAAAATAATTAGCCTAAAGTCAAACAGCTAGGAAGTAGTACCATATAAGCTAAGTTCTATTTTAAGTATTTCTGTTTTTTTGTTTTTTTTTAATACTGGGAATTACATCCCCATCCCTTTTTATTTTGATATTTTGAGACAGGGTCTCTGAGTTGCTGAGATTGGCCTCAAATTTGGGATTCTCCTGCCTCAGCCTCCCAAGTCACTGGGATTATAGGCATAGGCCATACATGGTGCCTGGCTCAAGGTTTTTCTTTTCTTTCTTTTTTTTTCCTAATTTTCATTGTATTTTTCTGATAGTAAAATTATTCTATGAAGATGAGGATGATGATCCAATATTCTCAACTGTTTTATAGAAATTTAATATTCTACCTATTTTCACATTTTATTTTTTTTTACTTTTAACCATTAAAACCACAAGTAGTACGACTTTTAAAAATTGAATTTGGCCAGGCACTGTGATAGAGGCCTGTAATCTCATCAACTAGGGAAACTAAAGCAGATGACCACAGGTTTGAAGCCAGCCTCAGCAACTTAGTGAGATGCTGTCTCAAAATTTAAAAAAAAAAAAAAAAAAAGATATAGCTCAGTGATAAAGTGACCCAGGGTTCAATCCCCAAACCAACCCCCCCCCCAAAAAAAAAAATTGAATTTGTAATTGAATGATAGCTGTCCATCTCCACCTATTAAAATGCAATAAAATTTTTACAACTGTCAAGACTTAGTGGATTCTAATAGCTTCTGGCTAAGTATATAAGTGGATGCCATGTTCCTCCCCAATCAGGATTTGTCAGCAGTGTTTCTCCCATAGTCATTGAAGTGTTTTCTCCCATAGTCATTCCTGAAGACAGCCATAAGTGGCAGCTTGAAATAAACAATCCAAAGTTTTGAAGATGAGTTTCACAGCTTTTAACATTTTCATCCAATGTGTTGGAAAGGAAAACCTTTTTCTCTACTTTTTAGTTCAGCCCCTGTGGGCATGCAAATGAGACAGATGAACAGGAGTAAACTCAGAATTTTAGTTAATATTTATATGCAAAGAATGCACAGAAAAGAAGTGAAACTCAACACTTAGATTTGAGGATATATATATATATATATAAACAGAAAGCTGAAAAATGCACAGGCAGAGTTAATGGAAGATAAGGACTACTTTATTTATGTAAGATCAAATTCCCACAACCTGTCCGAAGTTAAGTGATTGAAAGAAGCTCTTCCTGGTTGAGGGGGAAGGGGTGTCACCTTCCTCAAAGGGAAATTTTTGCCCAGACTTCAGATAGATAAAGGGAGGTCAGGGGGGAAAAAAAATCAGTTTATTAATTTTAACAAATAAAAATTACAAGAAATTAAAAAGGGGATATGTTATAGAATTTTCTGCATCTGTTTTCAGTGGAAAATATCCCTTATCAAAGGGTATATTTTGGGGTGGCATATTCTGATCCTTTTCAAATGGAAAGCAAAGAATATAGCCACACCATAACTAAATTTTATCTTTTAGTATTTTTCAGTCCTACTGATAAGCAGCCACTTCCTTACTAAATAAACCTTTTAATATTTTCTGACCTTGTACACATACTCTTTTCTGTTACTTGTTGCATTTCTTTTTAAGTTACAAAAAGCAATATAAAACTATAAAATATATTTAGAAAAAAGGTGGAAGGCTACTCACCCATAATTCTACTACTCTTACAAACTATGTTCTTACATACTTCCTTTCAATGTTATTGTTGAACCCACGACGCAAAGAAAAGACCACTGACTCCAATTTTAAACCAAATTAAAGCAAGCTTATTTTGTGTACATGAGGGAGATGCTCAGCCACTGCCTTGCCTAAAAGCATGGCCAGAGGACACTGCCTGGTCTAAGAGCAGGGAGGTTTTTATAACACAAAGTTACAAAGGTGGGTATATTGGGAACTTACAGCTGACAGGGTTCTGGTAATACAAGGGCAGACAGCAGGTTAATGATCTACATGGCTTAACATCTCAAGGTGGGGAGTAAATTCAGATTCCAACATCAGAATTAAGGAGGAGCAGCTGAGATCTCAGGGAGGGTTGTTATCTGGTGAGGGAGAGTCAGGCACTGGTAAGTTCAAAGCACAGGCAGGAATTCCAAGCAAGTTTAAAATATCAAAGTATGGTCAGGAGAAATAGAAATCTTAGTATTTTACAGTAAAACAGAAATGAATTTTTCATGACCTCATAACAAGATGGCTCCCAATCTTAAGGTGGAATTAGGTTATCTATATCTATTTCACAGAATTGTAGTGATAAGGGCACAGAATGTATAATATAACTTTTTAAAATAACATTGCATTACAAACAGTCTCCATGTTCTTAACCTCAGTCCTCATATTATTTCATAGCTGCAAAGTTTGCCTAACTTTTCTCTAGTTGTTAGGCATCTTGTCTACATTTAGATTTTTTTTTTTTCCCTTGTACTAGGGATTGAACCTAGGGCCTAGCACATGCTAGGCAAGGGCTCTACCTCTGAGCTATATATACCCAGCTCTTTTAAAAAATTTTTATTTTGAGACAGGGTCTCCCTAAATTGCTCAGACTGGCCTGGAGCTTGTGATCCCCCTGCTTCCTTCTCCCAATATCTGGGATTAGGAGTGTCTGGCTGCTTCCATGTTCTCATTGGGTCATCCCGCTGTTATCAGGGCAGGGCTGTTTGGAGTTGGCCTCTCCCTTCTGGGTGGAGCCTGAAACTCCTAGAACAATTTGCCTAGTTTAAGAGGTCAAGTCCCAGGCTAAAGGGCAGCCAGACCACCAAGGGCTCCCAGATCTCTGTCATTGCTCTCTCCCCTTTTGGAGGCCCAGATTTGGTGGCGCTAGCCAGGCAGGCGCCTCAGGCGCACTTCCTCTGGGCAGAGGCCGCGACTCCCAGGGCTTTTCCTTGTTTTCTTTGCTTTACCTGCCCTGGCGAGGGGTGAGTCCCTCCCAGCGCTCTCTCCTTCTGTCCTAGTAATCTGCAGCGTCACCCTGTGCAAAGAAAGGAACTAAGCTGCGCTCCCCAGGCATCATGGGCCGTCTGCTGGCCTCCGAAGTACAGCAGCTGCTCCATAACAAATTTGTGGTCATCCTGGGGGACTCCGTGCAGAGGGCCGTGTACAAAGACCTGGTGCTCCTGCTGCAGAAGGACTGCTTGCTCACTCCCAGCCAACTCAAGGCCAAGGGCGAACTGACCTTCGAACAGGACAAGCTGGTGAAAGGAGGTCAGCTGGGCCCCTTGCACAATGGCACCAACTACCGCGAGGTCCGCCAGTTCAGCTCAGATCACCATCTAGTGCGCTTTTACTTCCTCACGCGCGTTTACTCCAAGTACCTGGAGGCCATCTTGGAGGAACTCCATTCCGGTGAGCATGCCCCGGACCTGATCATCATGAACTCCTGCCTCTGGGACGTCTCCAGGTATGGTCCGCACTCCTGGAACAGCTATCTGCAGAACCTGGAGAACCTGTTTGGGCGATTGGGCGAAGTTCTGCCTGAGTCTTGCCTCCTGGTGTGGAACACGGCCATGCCTGTAGGTAAGAAAATTACTGCACGTTTTCTCCCACGCAAGCCCCTGCCCTGGGCCATCCCTCTGCGAAGGATCGTGGTGCATGCCAACTTCTACAGCTCCATCAAGGCAAGTAAACATGGCTTCGATGTGCTAGACTTGCATTTCCACTTTCGTCATGCTTGGAATTGCCTGCAGTCAGATGGGGTGCACTGGAATGAGCACGCACACCGCCAGCTCTCCTACCTGCTGCTGACCCACGTGGCTGAGGCCTGGGGTGTGGAGCTACCCTGCCGCCCACCCGCACCCATAGGTGAGCTGATCCAGGACGCCCCTGAGTGGGAACACCGTGGCCAGGCAGCTGGGAGGCAGCCCCAGGCCAACCGAGATCAATTGGACTTATCCCTGTCCCCGCCCCTGCCTTCTCCCAGGCGTCGCCCCCTGCTGGAGACCCCACGGCCCCGCTTGCGCCCCTTGCTGCCCCCTCCCGTTCCCCCACATCACAGGTCACCCCCGTCCCCGCACTATCCCCAAGATTGCTACTTTTCCTCCGACCATGTTTTCCAGTCGGATCAATTCTATTTCCAATCAGATGTCCCCTCATCTACCCAGCCAGGATTTGCCTTCGAAGCTGACTTTAATTTTTGTTCCCCTCCACCTATGGCCAGCTTCTCACCCTGTTATCAGCAGCGGGCCCCAGTGGTGTACAGGGGTTTTTCCCGTTACCTAGTTCAAGGCCCCTATATGCCCTGGAGAGGGCGGCACAGACGATCAAAAAGAGGGGCCTCAGCCCCCCCAGAGTCAAGGCGCCAGTAGGTCCACCTGAGGGCCTTCATTCTCCTGCAGGCTAATGGCGTGGATTGTTTTGACCCTTCCGTTATGTTGGCACAGGCCGCAATACACTGACCTTAAGCCTTAATAGTTAGTCCATGTTTGGGCACCGTTGTGCTCATAGCTATTACAGATTACAGGACGGAGACCCGTCTGACCCATATTTGTTTCTTACCTTGTCTTCTGCATGGGGTAGGGCAGGAGGGACCAAGCATTATTCCTATCTCCCCATCCCCTATTGCCATTTCTTTTTTGTAAAAAATAAAATTGGTACACAGAAATTGTTTCACAAAATAGTTGTGGATTTGTGTGTGTGTGTGTGTGTGTAATTAATGGATGACTTTCCTTACAGTTTAAAAATTAGCTCTGTGAAAACAGGACACTGTTTACTGAAAAAGAATAGTTGTGGACTGGGGATATAGCTCAGTCGGTAGAGTGCTTGCTTCTCATGCACAAGACCCTGGGTTCAATCCCCAGCGCCACACACAAACTAAAAAGAATAGTTGTGACATCTTCTTAGTGAACTATTCAAAACTGGTTTGTTCAAAGTGAATTCTTCTGAGCGGTTCCATAAGAAATTTAACTTTTTTTGTGATCATATTTTCCAGAAATTCTCAGAGAATCATTTAATTTTAGAGTTAGGAAAACAAAAGACATAAAACATACCCAACACTTAGCGAGAAAACTGAATACAAGAAAGATAAGTGACTTATTCCAAGTCGTTCAGACAACCATTATTCCACTAGTCTTTACTAGTTTACAGTGGTCTCCTTGATCCTGAGATTTGAAAGCTAATGTAAAACAAGCAGAAGTCCATCAAACGTAGTCTCACTATGCAAGTGGTGGCAAAACCATCTCTGGGACCATAGCTGGAAGTCTGTTACATATATGATGAATTATGCAAGCTAGAGGGGAAGGTATGATTGTGACAGTGTTATTCCCTTGAAGAGTCCTGATTTTCAGACTTAAGAAAATTAGATAAAAATAACCTGGGTTTTTCTTGTTTTCTTTGGCTTTTATATCTTATTTAGAGATAGGGTCTCGGTGAGTTACTTAGAGCCTCGCTAAGTTGCTGAGGCTGGCTTTAACTCAGTGGTCCTCTTGCCTCTGAGGTTACAAGCATGGGCCACTGTGCCTGACAATCAGCTGTTCTTAATGACCATGTAATTACCATCATGGAATAAAACTACAAGTTGGGACAGCCCAGTCCACAGATCCCTTCTCCTTCAACTCTGACGGGTGCCTACCGTGGCTGTCACTCTGTTTTGTAGAAATGTTAACATCGCTAAGATTGTTTAAATGCTAGACCCCTTGTCCACAGGACCAGTGAAATGTTAATATTCAAATAAAATAGTCAAAAATAGGATGTTTTACTGAATTGATTCGACTGATTCGTCAGTCTCCAATACCACTACCCCTAAATTTGATAAGAGTGAGGAAATGTTAGTCTGCAAAAATGAAGATCGTGAAGTCACAAGAAATGGATGATATCAGGTAGTGATGGAAGAAAAACACAGTGACTCTTAACCCTCTAAAGGAACATGGGATTCCTGGAGAACAGGGCCTTGATCTCTACCTTTGTGTATAAAATAGTAGCAGTGCTGAGCACTTACCAGTTATTTTTCAGTGAATTAGGATGTAAAGAGGTGGCTTATAAATATGTTGATGATTGTCTAAGAGATCATGTAAGTTGGCATTTAGTCTCTGTAGCCCCTCTGAAGGAATACTGCTAAAACAGCATGAGGATGGTGGCTCTTCAGGACCCTGGAAAGAATGTTCCAGCAAGGTCAAGAAAGAGAGACATGCTTGGCCGTGTAAATGTTCTAGTGCACTAGACTATCGGCCCTCAAGATGGGCAGTTGCCTTCCTCTGGGTTCACACTTCTCAAGCAGCATTTGGCTGCTGATCTGAGTAAATTGAAACACTTAGTACTTGTATTTCCAGAAATACACCAATAAATTGGTGTTCTGGTTACTAGCTCTCTCATGAATTAGGTTAGCACGTGCTAATCCTCCATAATCAGAACATGCCTGATAAATCAAGGAAAATGAGTTTTTATATATTCAGTGCTGAGAACCACACATGATGATCTACTGTTTTATGGATTAAATTGCGCCAATTACTCAACAACAGTTCTTCTTTTCTCAGGTGGGTAGGAATTCAGGTAGATTTGGAATGCAGGGACAATCTTCCTTCACAGGTATATTAACTTCATATGGCTGCTGTAAAAAATGCCAAGAATGTGATAACACACATTTAGCCAGGAGTGATGGTGCACCTTGTAATCCCAGCTACTCAAGAGTCTGAGGAAGGAGGATCATAAGTTTCAAGGCCAGCCTGGGGAACTTAGTAAGATCCTGCTCAAAATAAAATTTAAAAAGAGGGGGAATAACTCAGTGGTAGAGTACTCCTGGGTCCAATTCTCCATAGCATTAAAAAAAAAAAAAGGAAAAAAGTATCTGTCTCTCACAGTTTAGGAGTTCAGAAGTCTGAAACCCATTACTCCAAAATAAAATTCTTAACTTTACCTATGCCGTAGTACCTGATCAGACTTCTTTCTGCCCCTGCAATGTTATCTTCTGGAACTCTCTTCATTATTCTTAAAGCTTTACCTAAGTCACCCTGAGTGGCTACCCTTCCCCACTTTCCTGGGCCCAACCCCCTAGCCACTGGAGTCAGAACCTGATAGCACATTCAGTGGATGCTTACATTTAATTTCATACGTATCTTGGCCTTTCTTTCAGTCTAAGGCTTTCTTTGCCCATTTTTTGCTATTGTCATCTTGTTCCTTAAAATCCAGAAACCTAGCAATGCAATCAAGCTATTGTCTGATAAAAAGAGCTAAAATTATTCAGCATTGATGAGAGAAATTATTTCTCTATTGTTCGGACTTAGAATGCAGGGTTCATTTGGCCCAAACTGCAGCCTCAAGAAATGGCAGCACTCAGAGCTTTTCATACTTGACTCGTCTCAAGTTTTCCGGAAAAAGAAAAATAGAAGTAAAATTAATGATTAAGTTGACATTAAGCAAGCAGTGTACGTTTCTCACAAGATTCTATAAAACTATTATACCAAAGACCAAAACTTTAAAGCTATAACTATATTTTTCCATAAGTAAGAAGAAAGCAAGGCCCAGAATTTGAAAATAAGTGGAACCTTACCTCCTGCTATAGGAGCACCATCAGCCCCTCCTTCACTAGTCAGCCATGGAGCTCTCTGCGGTAATATTCACATTAAATGCTGGAGCTGTGCAAAGGGGTAGGTCTCTTTGACAACTGTATGTTCTTGAATTCTGCAAAGGTAAGTTGTTTTGAAAACAGATAATTAACATTTATGTCAGAGCCAGGCACAGGCGCTTGCTTGTAGTCCTAGCTACTTAGGGAGGCTGAGGCAGGTGGATCGCTTGAGCACAGGGGTTCAAGACAACCCTGGACAACCTTGTCTCAACAAAGGGGTGGGGAGAAAAAGGATTTACTATTGTTTTAAGCTATTATATATTCATTTCTATAAATTCTAGAAACAATATTCTTATCCTCACAGCTTCATGAAGGATTTCTATCACTGCATGCTTAATAAGACTTTACCAGTTTTTTTAATATTTATTTTTTAGTTGTAGGTGGACACAATACCTTTATTTTATTTTTATGTGATGCCGAGGATCGAACCCAGTGCCTCACGCATGCTAGGGGAGCGCTCTACCTCTGAGCCACAACCCCAGCCCAAGACTTTACCTCTTAAAGAACCATCCTGAAACATGTCCCTTTGAACCATAATTCTCTCTATATATGTATTCTAAGTGCAAGGATGTTTGCAAAATGAGTCTTTCCATAATAGCCCAATATGGAAATTCACAATGAAACTCTGAGTGGTTCTGCATAAAATCACTTGATTAAATGACTAAATTGGGAAGTCCAGAATTAGGGGACTGGGGATATAGCTCAGTTGGTAGAGTGCTTGCCTCGCATGGACAAAACCCTGGGTTCAATCCCCAACACCACAAAAATAAATAAATAAATAAATAAAAGAATTAACAGGATGCTGAAGCCATGCAGATAGTCATTCGATAATATCAACCCCTTCCAACATCTAAGGACAACATTGTTAGGTGCCAGATTCTGATCCCAAGGAAAAGGTCCTTAAAGAACAAGAGCACCAGCAAGAGCTGCTGTGGCAGATCAGACACGCGGTGCAGAAGCAACAACCCACCGGTGTCCGCTGACAACGCCTCCTCCGGACAGCTGCCTTCCTTCGGGCTGCAGTCATGACACCTCCAAACCAGCAGACACATGGCTGCTTTAGTGTCATCGCTTCTCATGTCTGTGTCTAAATAGCATTGGTTGAGTTTTGCCTGTACGTTTTGATCTTATATTTCATCTTGGCAACTATATCACACTACCAGGTTGACCTTCCCCTATCATCATCCTCTCTAACCCCAGCCTCTCCAGGCTCCGAGGCAGTGATTATCAATGGTATTTAGTATCAGAATCTCCTGGTGGGCTTGCTCAAACTCCACTGCTGCAAAGACACCACCCCCAAGCTTCAATCCAGTATGTTCAAAGTGGGACCCTAAAATTTGCATCTCTAGGAAGTACTTTTTCAGAAGATAAGGATCATACTTTGAAAACCACTAATCTAAAAGTTTTTTGGTTTGGGTTTATTTGTTTGTTTGGTTTTTCCCCTCAAATAAACGTATAAAAACTATAGAAAAACCTAAATTTAGGTTATGGCAGGTATTCCCACTCATGTAGTCATAAACTAGATTTAACCATTGTTACCATTTTACCATATTATTTCTTTTTGAAAGTGTTTTTGTTATTGTTGTTTGCACCTGGCATTGAACCCAGGGGTGCTTAACCACTGAGCCACATCCCCAGTCCTTTTTATTTTTTATCTGGAGAAAGGGTCTCACTAAGTTGCTTAGGGACGCACTAAGTTGCTGAGGCTGGCTTTGAACTTGCAATCCTCCTGCCTCAGCCTTCCAAGCTACAGGCATGTACCACCATGCCCAGCTTTTGAAGTATTTAAAGTAACCTATTTCATAATATTCCATCCATAAATACTTTGTGGGAAGTAAGGATATTTTCCTGGATAACTAGAAGATTAGTATGATGTAACTTGCTGATATCATTTGATACCCAGTCCCCAAAATGTTTTCTACAGCTATTCCAACTGAGATCCACTGAGGAATCACACATTGCATTATTTGTTGAAATCTCTTTTAAACTAGAAGAGAACCCAGCCACGATATTTTCTTTTAAAGACATCCACTTGCTAAAAAGACTTGTTCTATTGAA